CACGATAATTTATAATTACATATGAAATATCAAGTTTTAGTAAAATATCAAATTTTACTTGGCTCTTATATTTTGTGATCAATCTACACAATTTGTCTTTTGCATAACGATCCGCATTACTAGACTGCGGATTTTATGCATTTATGAAAAATAAATAAAATCAGTAGGTAGAGTGCAAAATAGCAAATGCAGAAAATAAATTTAATGATGCTGTTACAATAGAGTCGAGTAAAAACAGCTCGGCACGTATTAATAATATGAATAAAATGAAATTATAAATACAACAAATGGTTTAAAATATCATTTGCATTGCTGTTTTTTTATGAAATGAAGATAACAAATAAAAATTATCGACGAAATTTCGGTGAAATTATCGTCGACGAATCTAGGTGTCGGGAAATAACTGTCGACAAAACTTTGTGTCGGTGATGTATTTATCGGACGCCTAATGTGTCGGTGAAAATAAATATAGTAATTTCTTCCTGCTTCTCCCGCTCAGATTGTGCACAAAAATGGACAATTTTGGAAGAAGAGATACAATCATTCGAGCCTTGCGGCTCGTTTTTATTTTTACCGATTATCAACAACTATAAAAACGAGATCTAAGGCTCGAATACTCTTATCTTTTCTTCCCAAATTGTCCATTTTTAAGCGCAATCTGAGCGCGAATTAGAGAAATGCGGCAAGATGTCGGTAAGATGCGGTGTCGATGGAATCGTGTCGGTGAAACGACTGAGATAACTGTCGATGATATAATTGTCGATGTAGTAACATTAACCCTTAAATTCCGTACGTTTGACACGATAAAGAAGATACGCACGATTATTCGGTCTAGGTCACGACCTTGGCGCGTTTTATCACTTTCAACCGATAAAATTGCGGAAGACCTTCTTCTTGATCCTCTTTCGTGGAGATATTGGCCGGAATTTGTGCTGGTCTTCTGGACTATTCGGCGAGCTTATTAGATGAAATTGTGGTATTGAGAGGGTTGCGCGGAACCTTCGTCGAAAAATAAAAGAAAAAGTCTATACAACCACCCCGCCGGCCAAGTGCCGGTCATAAATCGTCCATGCTTTTCAACTGGGAACCACCGACACAAGCGTTGTGGAAAGTTATCGATCCCTTTATTGCCCAGGTCCGAATTTTCGAAATCCCCGGTTACGAAGAACCTATCGGAGTGAATTTGTTGATCTACCGCTGAACTGCCAGGTATAATGTTAATAATAAATAAATGTTCGTTGCATAGCAGCAGTACTTGTAAGCGGCGAATAGACCGCGGGTGTTCTTGGTAGCGCGGATTTTTTGGACTAATTTACGCGAATAGAAATCATAATTTTTTACTTATAAAACCACTTAGCCGTTTTAACTATCTTTTTAGTATCTTGTTCGTGAATAATTGTTCGTTGTTAAATAATTTATCCTCATTTTGTGAGA